CACCACTACTCCAATATCACCCCTATTGTCATTGCTGCTGCCATCACCACACAATTAATACGGCTGACTTTGACATTTTGATGGCCTAGAACATACTCTTGATATGGGGCCTTTCATAATTAAAAAAAAAAAAAAATTTGATAAAAAATTGTATATCTTTTTTATCATTTCTTTGTTTTTGACAGTGACTTGATTTGCTGATAATATAGTATAATGGATAGTGCTCTAGATCTTCTCTGGATTTGGACAGGGAAAAAAATTTCTTAAAAGTGAATTCTACTCATTTTTCTCTTCGTGATTCTTTCATTGGTTATGTGTAGTACCATGGTCTTTTTGTTTGTTTTTTTTCGATGCTTGCAAATGGCTTGTTGGCTTATGGGTGCCAACATAGTTGGGATGCAGTGATTTAGCAATGATGTAGATTGCATCACTTGTTAACTTTCATTTGCATGAATTAATTTTCTTTTAAGATTCTGCTTCTGATTTTTGCTTTTGGGGTGTCTTCTTTGGAAAGTTATTAATAAGTTGATGATTCAAGATGCTGTCTTTATGTGCTTTTGATTACATCGCATGAAAACTATACATTGCTTGGATCCATCATGTACTGAGTTTAGACTTGATATATGCTCTATTCATCATAAAAGGTCTTGATTTCAGTGTTGGGGTCTAGTTCTGCTTGGGATTTGTTTAGTGTCTTGCCAACGGTTTGTTGTTCCTTTTGGTGGTTGAATATGATTGGGCCACTCTCATTAGGTGCCAATTTTATTGGGACACCAGTTCACTTGTTATGCTGCAGTTGTCTTGCCAACGAGATACAAATGGTCTCACAAATCACCCTTTGGTGAATTTTAAATAATCACAAATAATCAAGAGGAAATACCTTACCAAATAGATGAATAAAAATAACAGAAACAGTCCTCTGAAACTGAAGCAAATAGAGCGTTGAAACTAAAACAACAGCAACAAATCAAGCAAGAACCTTAGACCAATCTCAGCCACCAAAGTGAATACAAACAACATTATGATTCAATAAATTGAATTACCCACTGCACAGTCACCGAGGATCATCCAAATCATATAGCAGCCGTAGCACATCTTAGGGAAAAAAAACAATACTTTTTGGGCTTTTTTTTTTATTATTAAAACCCTAGCTGCTACCAAATTGATTATAAAATACTTATTGGGCCTCCAAAATTTAGATATCAACACCCAACCAAATTAAATATTTTAAGAAATCAATTGGATCCCATATTTCAATAAGAAGGCATACGCAACACTTTAGTCATCTCGGGAACACGTGAGGTTGGAAGTAGATGGCATTTGAGTAGCAGACTGTAGTTTCTGGGTGGGGCGGAGGAATGCATTTGGTTGTTTCTCATCATAAACTTGCCTACTATTTCTACTGCCTTTTTCTCCTCCACCATTGCAAACAGTGGTTAGCGTTTTTAGGAACGATGAAGATAGTCTTTGGGAGGGACGAAGGAATTAATGCATTTGCTTGTTTCTTATCGTCAACTTGCCTACTACTTCCACTGCCTTCTTCTCCTCCACCAATGTGAATACTATTTGGTGTTTTTAGGTGCAATGAAGGTACTTGCTGGGAGGGAGGAAGGTACTTCACGGTTTTGTTGTCTCGAAGATTCAAGTTATGCGAAAGCCATAGGCCATGTTGAGCTTCAGATTCTAAACAGTTTGTCAACGTAATCTCACGAGTTTACCATACAATTTTAATTCAATTTGGAAAGCAAAAATGAAACATTGTGATTGAATTGGACAAATTATACCTATAGTCTTGTATTTTGTCTTGGTGTCATTTTGCTCTCTATTATTTTAATTAACGAGATTTTAACTCATAATTTTAAATTTTATTTTAATTTGGTCAAATTAATAATGTTGAATGCAGTGTTTGATATTCGCTACTACTTCGCTTCTGTCTATCATCTCTCCTTTTCGTGGACTCACAGATCCAACAACCGGGTAGCACATTGGGTGGCCACATCCCAAGCCTCTCAGGTTCTTCCTGTATCCTGGGCAGGGTTTCCACCGGATAGTCTCTTATCCTTATTATCTACTGATGTATCTACTGCTAATGCAGCCTCTGTTGTTGGTTAATAAAATGTTTCAAGCCTTTCAGATCAAAAAAAATGCAGTGTTTGATGGAAAATGATCAGTGAGTGAGTTGAACTTAACTTACCAAATTAAACATGTTTATAATTTTGTCTGTAAAAATATAACACATGAGGCTTATATGCTCATTTTACATAAAAATAAAAATAAAAATAAAAATTGTAATCAATTGGATTAAATTAAAAAAAAATTATAAATTCATAATCAAAATTGAACTAATTGAAATTAGGATTAATTGTTGAAAAAGTTCAAGTTCAAGAGGGTATAAGGCATTAGTCTAGTGTATATTTTTTATTGGTGAAAGGTCCACTATTTGTAAAATAATTTGGTGAGAAGTCCTTTTATTTAGTTTGAAGGACATTTTGTTTCTAATTTTATCTCTTAATTTATTTGTTGATTTTTTTTTATCTGCTAACTTTCATTAACTATCTGTGCAAATTTATATCTATCTATTCAAATTTTTATATATCTGTTGGAATATCTATGTGTTGAAATTCCCATATGTTGAAATCATCTATTCAAAAAAATCTATCTGTTGAAATTCACAAACTTATCTATTTAAATTTTTATATTATCTGTTAAAAATCTGACACATTCTCCTGTTCTCACTTACATATATAGGATATTTTAAGAAGTGAACATCTTTCTTAGTAGTAGGGTTCGGGGAAACAATAGGAAAGGTGATTTCACTATATTTCTGGCCAGGAATAAGGCCTATCACAAGAATATTTTTTTTATTTATTTGAGTGATAACTCTTAAAAGACAAATTATTCATCTTTTCTTTCATTTTGGGAAAAATACGATTAGGAGAGGCTAATTCAAAACCCTTAGGTAACATAAGAACAACCCCCATTCGTTTGACAACTTTCAATTTTAGTCAAAAAAATTAAAAAGTCATTATAAATTTTCACATCACTTTTTTTACTTTTTAACACATCTTTTTACAAAAAAACTAAAAAAAATTGTGTTTGGTAAGGCTTTCAAAAATTAATTCTATCTTTACATCTGAATAATATGTTTGGTAAGAGTTTTCAAATCATGATTCCAAGTTAATTTCAAAACACATTTTGAAAACATATTTGATAAGAGTTTTAATTTTTGAATTTTGGGTGTACCCGGTCGTCTACCCAGACGTCCCCCGAACGTCCAACTGATTTTCTAGAACAGTGTAAAATTATTATTATTATTATTATTATTATTATTATATTTTATTTTTTACAATTGCCAATCGTCACTTGTTATTTGGGAAAAAAAATTTATTTTTGATATTTTTTAAATATAGCAATTATTTTTTTAAAACCAAAATGACAAATTATTTTTTTGAATTAAATTTTAAAAAGAGTTTGGTTATTAATTTTGAAAAGAATTTTGAATAGAGTTTTGAGTTGTATGTTTGATTATAAATTATTAGTTTTTGAATTAAGTTTTGAAAACTCTTTTTAAAACTCATAATCAAGCAAATCTTCTCATTTCATGTCACATTAAAAATTTCAAAACTCAATTCAAAATTCTTTTCAAAACTCATAACCAAACAAATTTTCTCTTTTCAAATCATAATTTCAAAACTTACAAACTCAAAATATAACTCTATTCTCAAATCATAATTTTAAAATACTACCAAACACTACCTAGATTTCTCCCAAAAAATTGTCACATCACTCGGATTCAAAGTGTTTGGCTTCGATTTCTGCTAATTCTTGATCAACGCATCGGCCACTTGGTTTTAGGGTTTAGAAAAATTCATTAGCCTTGGGAGAGAGACTATTGACATATTTATAGATCCACCAGTGCGGTGCGCATACGTGTCTGTAGAATAAAAAATTAAAAGGTAGATAGATGGAAGGGGAAAAAAAATAAATTAAAAATTAAAAAACTGAATAGTTGTATAGGGATAATTTAAATTATAGTAGTGCTACATGTACTACTTAAGGTACTAATTAGTGTATTAGCATATATTATGACATTGTCATTTCAAAACTACGATTCCACTCCCATTATACAAATTACAAAAATCCAAAACTTCTAAAATGATGTCACATAATCTGTAATATATTAATTGATAAATTATTTAATACATATAACTTCATCTTTTAAATGATGAAAAATTACATGACATAAGTTTAAAATATATTTTTAATTGAGCCTAAGACTGGCTAATTATTCGATGTTCCCCAATATAATATAATAGTTCAAGTGGTACTCTTAATTATGATGTAGCAAAAAATTTGTATAATTCAGACAATGTTCAAGTGGTACATTTTTATATTTTTATATTTTAGAACCATTTGCCGTTTCAACCTTGCATATTTCTTTTTGTTTTTGGAACAGACCTTTCATATTCATTGGTACTCCATTTTTAAAGCCTTAAAATTTTGACTCTTAGCATCAACTTGAGATTAATTGATCTCAATGATCAGACAGTGAGGCCTTATTCTATTTAGAATTTTGTTCGCTGTAATAATAAGTAAGTACTAATTGTACACATGTTTGAAATGGTGTATAATAATTTAATTCAATACTTAAATTTGAATATATTCACTAAAAATAAATTAAGTATATAATTTACGTTACTTCAATTTTTAAGTATTTCTGAATTTTAAATATGTTATGTCACTGTTGAGGTGTATCTTCATCACTCACCAATCTCACCCCATTATCGCCACGTGCCAAAATGGGAAACCAAATAGAAAAAACTGTAAAATTTAAGTGGGATAAAATATAATTTACTCAAAAAAAAATCAAAAAAAAAAAAAAAAAAAAAAATTCTGAAAACTCAAGCAAGGCTAATTAAACAACTCAATATGATCAAGGGTCTTTACAAAATGGCTAAGAGACAATAATACGTTTCAGATGGAAGATTTAACATTATAACTTATAAAATATAGAATCTTTCATAATTTTTTTGGGTAAATTAAAATTTCATAACACAAACAACGCGGTACAAACAAATTGTAACAAGGTTCCAAATAGAAACATACACATCGAGAAAACAAACAAAAATCTGAGAAATACTTTGCCCTCACAACTAAAAAAAGGAAACAAACACAATTACTGAAACAATCAACTAAAAGTGTCCCAAGAGGTGACAATTCTCTTGAGAAAACAAAAACAAAAACAATCACAATAGAAGTACTATTCAAAATTAAAATACACAACTCATGATCCACAACTGCAAGTAGACACTACTTATATATGACTTGGATTATGCTAGTAAAGCATATGTTTCCTTGGCTGAAACAATAACCTGGAGCCGTAGGTTGAATGGATCACATCTGCCAAAAGAGGATATTGGAGGGTAGCAAACAAAATGATAGGCACGCAGGCAAACAAGGCAACGGCGATTGGTACCCATACCGCATAACGGTCAAAAACAATGAAAAATGTCGCACCAAAAGCTACCATCATGGTAGTTATGGAGACGAAGAGTGCCGTGAGTCCAATCATGAGCTTAAAGGGCAATGATTCCAAGAAATCATTTTCAGCATAGCGTGAGGTGAGTATAGATAAGAACATGAGTATTGAAGTGGAAGAGGTGACTAATGCTATGGCATCTGATATTGCAAAAACCATGAAAGAACTATCCTTTCGAAACATTGGGATTCCTGTATTGTTATCATTGCCGCCTGGTACAGTAAAAGCTGCAGCAAACATTACGGTGGCTATAAGTGTTGCAACAACCATAGACTGGGAGGCGGTGTTCTTCATCCATGCCTCCCCTTTCTCAACTAAGTTTTTGTGCTCCTCAGTAAATAAAGCTTGAGGTGTTTTGCCTTTTGAGTTTTTCTTTTCTACATATGAAGGTTGCATAATCTTTTCCACCTCCTGCAAGGACAAAAATGATAGATGTTACCCTTTCACTAAGCGGACAAAAATAAAAAGAGAGAAAAGGTAGAGTTATGCTATTCAAACTAACAAACTTTACAAACTACCACTTGTTGCTCTGATCACCCTATTTTAGTGGGTCCTGTTTTAAATTCATAAATTCTTTTTTTTAATCTTTTTTTATCCACAAAAAGAAAGTAAAATTTTATTGGAGATAATAAAACACAACAAAAATGGGGAAAGAGAGAAGGTAAGAAACTGACGAGTAGAATAGCACTAGGTCATCTACACCTTACAACAAACAAAAACCAGCAAAATTTCTGTTACTGTATGCCACGTCTGTGAGTAAGGAAAAATTTGTAAACTTCCTTAGTTTTGAGTTTTATAGTATTTTCTGAGAAGAAAATAGAAGGTAAGAGCGATAAACAAATTTTTGAACAATTGAAATGAGCATTCATTAAATCTTTCAGGACCATGACCATCACATTGACAAGGGACCATATTATGAAAAACTATAAAAATCAATTATTATGAAAATAGAATCTTTAAAACATTACAGCAATAAAGTTTGTTAGAGAAGGGCGCAATAATGAAGTATAATCTGATTGACTTCTCATTTGAAATAACAAACAAAACCTATGCTAGAAACAAGAAGCTATTGGTGGCCTTTTTGCTCTTCATCATGATTCGTTCTTTGATGAACTATGATTTTATTCCCCAATGATATGGTTAGTCCATTGCAAACCCACCAAATTCAAGTGCCAATGTGGATGTCATGTTGGACTTAAAGAGTTCAATCATGTTTTTAGAAAAATATTGCCAACAGTAAAATTAGTTATGTAAAGCACTAGGAAAAATCAAAAATTTGAAATAACTAACCGAGTAGAAACATTTACCTTAAACCACACTAGCTCTCTTTGCATTTGAAGAGCTGCCCCTGACACAATATTAAGTTGATTTGGGGGTGCTATCTTCGCAGCCAAATGCAACATATTATTACGATCTTCATCTCTATATGCAGTAATTAAATCCTTAATCGAGCCTATCTCATATAAAATATTGAATATTCCTGCATGACGATGTAAAACGGCAACATGAAATATGCTTTGGTTCTGGCTATTTACTTTCCATATCAAATCAGGATAAGCTTCAATAAGCTCAATCAAGAACTTGGTGTTTCCATGCTCTGCCGCAACAAAGAGAAGTCGTGAAGGGCTTCGGATCAAGTCCGAAATCTCTGAATCATCTTGCTTTATCATCATTTTCCATAACAATCTAACTAGTTCAAATGCTTGGGCTTGTTTCAGACTTTTGTCATGTCCTACCTTCCTACCTGGAACTGAGAACAAAGCATTTCACCTGATCATGAATTTTCTAGAGAAAATTATTCAATAAAAACAGCAATAACAACCCACTAATTATTAGCAGTTTGAAGAATGTTTAAAATAAGAGCAAGAGAAGGGTCAAAAAGAGCAATTGGTACAATCTTCATATCATTTCCAAACATAAAAACAATATAATTATAAAATAAAACTTATTTTTCGTTTATTCTTTATAAAGTTGTGTTTTTCTACCAATAGTGGTTGACACAATCTTCATCATGGTTCTAAATCGTAGTATTGGGAGATGAATCAACAACAGTTTTGGTGTAACGGTATGAGAAGTACTGAGTGATATGTATTGAGAATCAGGTGATGTGGTTGTGAATTTCCAAAACTTAATGACATGCATTTTTCTTACTCTCTCAAGTTCAAATCTTGACATTTTAATCAGTATTATGATAGAGTAGCATTTTTTACTGTCTGGTAATCTACATGAAATTTAATTTATTCGTCATGATCTTTGATTTTCATCGAGAATACCTTGTTCTATTTACAAGAGAAATTTTTACCACAATACTTTCTTAAATAACAATGGTATGTTCCTTCTCACCCCATCTTGAACTTCTTAGAGAGATCTCAACAAGCGCCCACATGATGCAATCAATAGTAGGGGTGTACACAGTCCGGATTGATTCGGTTCTGAGAAAATCCAAGAACCAAACCGATCCTAACAGTTCTGTGATTTTGAGAACCAAACCAAACTATTACACTTGTAAAACCGGACCAGAACCAAACCAAAATAACGGTTAAGTTGCGGTTTGGTTCACGGTTCCAAAAATTTCTATTTACAAGAATAAATTGTTAATATTAGCAAAATAATTACTCAAACTGATTATATTTAACTCATGATTAATAAATCAAAATATTAAGGCATTACTCAACATTACATATATATATCATCCTAATATCATTAAAATTACAAAAGCCAATTAATAAAAATAAAACTTGATATGATAATATTAAATATTATATATATATATATCTTATTAAATAACACTTACGCATTGTTCAAGGACTTCTGTAATTTACTAAATATTATATATATCTATATATATTTTTTAAAATTCGGTTCGGTTCGGTTCAATTCGGTTTGAACCGTGGTTTTTTCATAAAATCCATTAACCGAACCGTTTTTACGGTTCTCAATATTTCTTGAACCAAAACTGAACCGGTTCTTAATAGAACCGAACCAAACCAAACCGTACGGTTCGGTCTAGTTCGGTTCGGATTACCGATTTGAACAGATTTTTGAACAGCCCCAATCAATAGGTCCAGTATTTGATGGCTTCAAATGAAGATTCCAAAGCTCAACACATCAAAAGACAATCAGGAATTGAGAAAGAGGATACCATCATATATTAAATTCTTGTATGCAAACTATGAGGAGCCAACTCACTTAAAGTGAATGATCATGTAGGTCAAGCAGCTAAGGGAGTAACAAGTTAGGTATGATAGAAAGGTGTAAATCCTCCAAAATTATAAACTTATCAAATAAAGTATTTAAACGAAACAATATTCATAGGTGGAAAATTAGAAATTGGGGAAATGATGAAGTGTGGGAAGTAGAAACTATTTTAATCAGATCCATATGTAAATTTTCCAAAGGTCAAGAATTATGCACTACAACAAAAGCATTTATCAGAAAATGCAATTTATTCAATGGAGCCAATGACCTCTTTTAGTAAGTTTCAAAAGATAATATAATATTGTTGTCAAGATGTAGGCTGGGAAATATCATTTTGTACAATATGAAGTAGTAGACTCCATATTATACACAGGTGTGCTTCAAGTGTTCTCAGTTGCTTCAGATCATTTTGTTCTGTATTTTTTTTGGTATAAATACTTCCCCGACCACTCCAAACTGAAAGAATCATTACTTATTTTTTACCGAGTCTAAACTCGCAATTTACTAGTCCTTTTCCATCAAGTTATCTGATGGAGCCTAGGCTTGTAAGAGAATGTCCCCCCCATTGAGCAGATCTATTCATGAGAAGCTAGTAAAATACATGGATGAGAAGAGATGATTGGAGAAACTAACATGTGTTGATGAATCTTTTCCACATGCTAACCTGACTTCCACTAGTAAATGCTGAAGGTTTTCGAGCCAGTACATGCAATGCTGTCTCACCATTCCCATCTCGAGCCACTGCCAGCTGTGGGTGGTGTTTCAATATGTCCAATGCTACATCTACACAATTTAACAATATATATAATAGTTACACAACAAGAAGATGCAAAAGTTGTTTAGTCTTATTTCATTTAGCTCTTTTTATTTTATTTAGTTAATTGTTTATTTTTTTTAAAAAAAAATTCTTATTATTATTTTCTCTTGAGCTACTGCCAGATGTGGGTGGTGTTTCAATATGTCCAATGCTACATCTACACAATTTAACAATATATATAATAGTTACACAACAAGAAGATGCAAAAGTTGTTTAGTCTTATTTCATTTAGCTATTTTTATTTTATTTAGTTAATTGTTTATTTTTTTTTAAAAAAGATTCTTATTATTATTTTCTCTTTTCTTTTTTGGGAAATCTTGTCATAGTTTGTTTTATTTAGTGGAAAGCCATCTTCTTTTCCTTGTGTTTGACCAAAAAGCATTGAAGTGGAATAAGTGCATCCACCATTTTGCTAAACCAAAGGACAATGGGTCAGCAAGTTTTGTGTGTGTATGTGTGTGTGTGTGTTTTTTTTCAAAAGAAAGGTTTCACAACTATAAGATGAAAAGAAGTGTTGTATTTTTGTTGTGCCCACTTGTGTTTGATTGAAAAGAAATTATGGACACGATTTACTGTTGAATACTTCTAGCATTCTTCTAAACCAAAATATGACCGAATAAATTAAAAAATAAAAAAACGCGCCAATTTTGGCCTAAGAGAACAAGCAAAACGAAATGGCATGCTGTATTTCACCTACCTAATTAGAATTTAGGCTTTGCTAAAGATTCTCCAACCATTTAGGTTATTTGTATTTACTTCTTTCTGGCATGTACAATTTTTAGGATTCACACCAATAATGTATCGATTTTACCCTCAAATTTTTCACATTGTGTCAATGTAGTCCAATTGATAACGCCCTTCTAAAAATTGAATTGAAATTAATGCACAAAATAGTCCATTCACTCTCCTCAAAATGATTGAGGGGTTGGTGTCCAATTTGAAATGGTTCATTCCCTTTTGAATGGATCATTTTACCCTTGACTTTTGTTCAATTTCTTAACCAGTATTATCAATTGGATTAAATTGACACAATGTGAAAATATTAAAGGGTGTAAAATTCATACAATTAGAACTATAGAGACCAAAATTGACACAACAGTCGAATTAAAAAGACCACATATAACTTTCCCTAATTTTTCTTGTCCTTCATTGTTCCAATATATTTGTCAATCCATTAAATGATGGAAGGGAGTATTTTATGATGACAAGAAATGGGTTGGAGTTTGTTGCACTAAAAAATTGATGCATATCTTAATCAAGAAGTGACTCAAAGCAACTTTTTTTAGGCTGGCTGAAAAGAAAAGGTTTGAATATTTACTTACCATACAAATCTGTACTAACACAGGTATTGAGTATCCCAATTCGATCCTCGTCTGACAAATCTTCACTCTTAGTCTTTTGGTAGAGATACCATACCATGTCACTATGTCCTAACAAAGCAGCCATATACAGTGGTGTCATTCCGTGGCTACCACGGATCATTGGCAGGCGTTCATTCTTGTTAATCATCACTTCAGCAATTCTCACAGTTCCAGCAGCAGCCGCAAAACATAGGGCAGTGTTCCCATTACTGTTTTGAAGTTCCAAGTCTTCAGGATTCATCAGTCCCACCAACTCCTCCACAAAGTGAATGCGCTTCGCGGCTGCTGCAATGTGAAGTGCAGTTTCCCACCCTTTTGTGATACTAGAACGTATCACAGTTGGAAATATTTCTATGACGCCATTAGCAGCTTTCCAGTCACCCTTCAAAGCAGCTTGGTAGAGGGGTAGACATATGGCAAGATACTGATCCCTAGCTTCTCCTGTGTAAAATTTGAAGCACATATCATCGTATCCAATTTTCCAAAACTTAATATCACAATTAACCAAAAATTAAGTCAAATAAACAAAAAAGCAGAGATAATGAAATCATTTTATGGCATAACTAAAAATTGGTCATTAAGATAACTACGACATAAACCCGCTTTTCTCGCCCTATTTTCAAGAAAATGCTAATCATACAAGATTTTTATAACAGGGACATTTTTATTCTTAATGATCAAACAAATGTTGTCTGCCTTGTCATTTGTTTTACATAAAATACGAAGTTCATGGATACATAGTAGGATTTACCTCACTAAATACACACCTGAAAAAACAATGGGGAGAGAGAGAGAGAGCTTACGAGAGAGTAGATCACAAGAAGGAGCAATCAGCTGAGGTGAAGTTACAACCTGAATTTCAGGTCCATTTTGTATTCCCCCTTCCATTGGTGTGCCCTCTTCCATCAAATGCACACTACTACTTCACAGCTTTGCACTTAAATCTTTTGTGAAAAAGAATGAGACCAAATGTGAAATAATGGAAGCTTATACATATACAGATACATAAATGTATTTAGCACATTTATTAAATATAAATTATGCTGGAACAAATGATAAAACAATAATTACATATATATATATATATATATAAGTGTTGTCAGCACTGTACACAGGTGCAATTTGTGTAATTGCAATGCTCAAACACCATCAAAATTTTATTTTATTTTTTATTTTTGCAGAGATGAATAAAAACTGTCAAATTCACTACAGAGGCTTTTTGCATCAGATTTATCTCTAATTCCAGCCCTCTCCTCCTGTGTACTTTGTGGAAATGCCTCAATTTGGTGCTCTGTTTTTTGCCTCAATTTCATCATTTTGAATAGTTCTGGTTGGGTTTTTGATGGTGCAGCAGACTGCTTTTGTAATGAACAACTCTCTACCTCTCTCCTCTTCTTAATTCTCTCTCTCTCTCTCTCTCTCTGGGTCGGAAAACAAACAGACCCTAAACCCCCCTCCAGCGCAGCGCCTCCCGCCACCCACCACCATTGCCACTGCGCAGCCTCCGAAGGTGACGGCGGAAGAGAGAGAGGCAGAGACAGTGGTTAAGTTATGATGTGTAATTCACCCGGTTTAATTTGTTTTTTATTTTTCATTTTTTTACCAAATTATTTTTTATTTTTATAAAAAAAAAATTGAATACTAAATAACATAATTAAAAATGTCATACAAATTAATAAGTTTTTGTTACCGATTGATTATTGTGCCTCCTTATCCGGTATGTTTGAATTATAAATTTTTGTTTAAGTTTTATTTTGTTCATATTTTTCTTTAAAAAAAAATTTATACTTGAATCCACAATTCAAATGGTAGTCTTATTCTATATGTTTAGAAAACTTACAAATATTACACATTATTTGTTACATGTATTTTTTAACAAAATGTTTAATTTTTTTAACTTTTTAATATGTATTCTAAGAATAATATTATCAAAATTTTAAGTATAAATATAAATTAATTAAGAGTCAATAATTACCTCAATTAATGATGATCCAAAGTTTTCTTCGATACTAGTTGATAAGCAAAGAAACTCCCACCTTGCTAAAACATCTCAAAGAGCGTTAATTGTCGAGAACAATGAACCACAACGATGGCAAGAATTAGTTGATGGAATGAAGGTACATACAAAAAAGATTTGTAGATGCCAAAAGATAAATGGAATTAGACATACAAAAACATATAGAAGGAGACCTCATGTCTTAAGCTAGTCAACCAAAAAAAAAAAAGCTAGTCAACAAGAAATTATTAAAAAAATTTGTATTAGTTGTTTAATCTCTCACTAAACCAAAAAACTATGGATGTTTTATATGTAGAGTATGATAAATTATGCTAACTTTTTTTTTCACGTTTGAAAAATATAGTAAATTTTATAATTTTGACATAATTATACAATTTTTTTTATAATAAAGTTAAAAAGACTTAAACAAATACAAACAGTATGAAAATATAAAAATAAATAAATTTTCAATGTAAAAGAAATGATGACAACATAATTTTTTTTTTCCCATTTATATAAGTAATGAAATATTAATAAAAATATGATTAAGTGTTAAATGAATTAAAATCTTAACATATAATTATGCCAAAGTGAAAAAACTTTTTCAAACCTTAAGAAAAGTTAATGTAATTTATACCTTTAAAGTAAGCTATGTCAAGAGTCCTTGAACTTTGTATTTTTTTTTTACGATTAAACTCTTTGACTAAGGGGTTGTTTAGAGTGTCCTAAATAAGTGTACTTTTGACTTTTTAGACTAAAAAGTTCAGGAAAAAAATGGTTGTTTGGGATAACTTTTTGACTTTTTATAAAAAAAAATGTATTAAAAAATTGTATAAATTAGTGTATAGGAGAAGATTGAGATGGAATAGGCGGTACTGTAAGATAATTCAAGACAGTGTGTGTAGAGTGCAGCTTGGGATATGATTCCCTACTTTTCGGGCATTGAATTGGAGGTGTTGTTCGGCCCGTGGAGGCCCACTACGAGTCTTGTTTTGCTAATCAAAACCGTTCAATATGTAAAACTCGTCGAGTATTATATGCTTGTAAAAAAACACGTTGATTGGATATCGATAGTTATCTAATCGAATTAGTTTTTTTTAATCGTTAACTATAATACCATCCATTTTATAAATTTTAACTGATTTGATCATATATTTACCGATATTCGATCTACGTGATTTTTTACAAGCATATAGTACTCGACGAGTTCTACACATTCAACGATTTAGATTATTAAAATGGGAACTGTGATGGGCCCCTACGGACCGAACAGTACCGTGTCATTTGTGCACTTAAATAAGTGCAATTTTTCTAAAAAGGCAGCTTCGCCTGTGCGACGGCAGAGTTGTCTGAAATGTAATTATGTGTTAAATTAATTTTTTAATACTTTTTTTGACGAATAGTGATAATTTTTAACTTTTTAAGTAATTTTTTAATTTTTTGTATTTTTTAAGACATGCCAAGCTAGACCTAAGTTTTTGGTCAATAAGCTAATTAACTTTTTCAATGTGGAGATACATTTTAACGTAGTCATCATTACATTTTATTTTTATTTAGGATAAATTATAAATCTATTTTCTGAGATTTACTTAAAGTACAAATTGTCTCATGTGATTTGAAAAATTATAAATATTTCTCGTTAGAATTTTTTATTTAACAGAACTAATTAAAAAAATAAAATTCATAATTGATCTCTTATACAATAATAAAATTACCTAAATTATTAATTGAAACATATTTTTAACATCATTAAAAACTGTTAATTGACTTGATAATTTATTAATAAAATAGACGATTTATTATGAAATTAGAAACTTTAGAGGATGAAATATAATTTTCATAACGATAGAGGGCGATTTATATTTTAATCAAACTTTAGGGGTGTATCTGTAATTTATGCTATTATTTAAATGAGTCAAACACTATTAGGGATGGGCACGAATCGGTTGCGGCCACGGAATCTCCAATCCGTCATCCATCCGCCAGATTGGCGGATTGAAAAAAATCAATCTGCATCTGTTCGCCAATTCGGCGGATGTGAATTGAGCAGATTGGCGGATGAATGCGAATCCTTTTGGCGATTTAAAATTTTATAAATTTTTAACATAATTCAACTCGTGCACTTCCTAAAAAAAAAAAAGTATTACAGTCATTGACTTAAAAAAGTATTACAATCACTGTATGGCCCCGTTTGATAGAGTTGTGGGAAAGTGATTATAACTTATAGTTTAACATTTTATAGCTTATAACTGTGAACATAAGCTGATTTTTTACTTATAAATTAAGCTTCTCCTCCCCCACTCAAAGAATAAGTTGATTTTTGACTTACAAAAAGGTATAAGCTGCATTATTAAGCTGAACCAAACACATCAAAATAGCTTAAATTAAGCTAAAAGCTGAAATAAGCTGTAAATAAGCCCTACCAAACAGGGCCTATGTCTCATCCAAAGAAAGAAAGTTTAAAATTTTAGAATATTACAATCACTATATGTCTCATCCACATAAAGTATTGCAATATGTGATTCTTAAAATATAAAACAATTCAAACCACCAAAACTATGAACACAGCAGTAGTAGAGATTGTATGTCTCTATATTGTTACATCTATATCTGTTTTTGAAAACAAAAACCAATCAGCATATATCATCTTTTTTATTTATTATTTTTAGAATTAGATTTAAACACCAAAAAATATAGATAAATAATACATTTATTCTTTTAATTCAAAAAATATATTCAAGTTGAAAACTCTTTTTCAACATAATATATTCAACAGAATTTTTAAACTCTTTTTTAATTGAAAATACAAACAGGATATTCAAACAAATTGAAAATACAAAGTTTTACAAATTACTAAGAGTGTCTGCGGTTTCACGGTTCGATTGCGACGAAATGAATCTCAAATCTGTCATCCGTCCAAAACTAGGTGGATTGAAAAAAAATCAATCCATAACCGTTCGCTCATTGTCACACATTCGTTCAAAATGTGACGGATCGGATCAATTCAGTCGGTTTAGACAGATCGGAATATTTGTTACTCATTCCTAAACACTGGGGGTGAGCAGTGGATATAACGGTCCGCCTAAACCAACCAAATCGAACCGGTCCGTCGCATTTGGGCGGATGCGTGATGCCGAGCGGATGGTTGTGGATTGATTTTTTTTTTAATTCGCCTAGTTTTGGACGGATGACGAATTTGAGGTATCTTTGACCACAACCGAACCACCAAATCACGAACACCCCTAGTAATTTGTAAGATTTTGTATTTTCAATTTGTTTAGATATTCTGTTTGTGTTTTCAATTGAAAAATAGTTTAATATTCTGTTGAATATGTTCTGTTAAAAAAGAGTTTTCAACCTGAATATATTTTTTGAATTGAAAAAAATAAATGTATTAGTTATGTATATTTTTTGATTTTTAAATCTAACTCTAAAAATAATAAATAAATAAATGATATATGCTGGTTGGTTTTGTTTTAAAAAGCAAATATAGATGTAACAATATAAAGGCATACAACCTCTACTACTGCTCTATTCATTATTTTTATATTTTAAGAACCACATATTATAATACTTTATGTGGATGAGGCATGTTGTGATTGTAATATATGAATGAAGCATGCAGTGATTGTAATATTCTAAAGTTTCAAACTTTCTTTCTTTGGATGAGGCATGCAGTGATTGTAATACTTTTTTAAAGTTATTGACTGTAATATTTTATTTTATTTTATTTTATTTTTTGAGGAAGTGCACAAGTTGAATTTTTATAAAATTTTAAATTGCCAAACCGATTCGCATCCATCCGCCAATCCGCTCAATCCACATCTGCTGGATTGGCAGACGGATGCAGATTAATTTTCTTCAAACCGTCAATCTGATGGACAGATAACAGATTTGAGGTTCTGTGGCTGCAATCGACCCACGCCGACCCTTATTAAACACTATATAGTATTTACATAATTTTTTTTAATGATTTTCAAAAATATATAGATAAAGGAACATTCCAACAAACTCCTTGTCTTCATCCTGACAAATATGCTGGCGGCCACATATAATTGTTGGTTACTTTAATAAATAATATATAATTAATAGCCATGTGGAAAAATAAGAAGTGAAAAGAAAAAGACAAAATAAGAAAAGTTGCAGTGTCAAATTATAATAAAATAAAAAGAAGAGAACATTGATGTAGAAATTTAGAAAGGAAGCGAAAAAAAAAAAAAACAGAAGTATAGTCGTTGGTTATTATAATTGTTGACTTTTTGGCTTTTGAAGGTTATTATTGTAATTGCGAGTGTGTCAGCAAGGATCAATCAGTTCTTACAGAAATTTAATTGCCAACTAATTATCAGACGATTGTGTTTTAGTTCTCTCAGCCTCAATGAAGAGGACTTTTACTGGTGGCTTGATTTAGGAGAATTAAGCAAAATATCAATCAAATAAAGAACAACTTAAGCATTTCATTAGAATGAAAAAACTTACAATGATTCAAACTCAGCCTCGTAGAAGGTTTACAGTGACAATCTACTTGAAACTACTCCTATGAATGAAGTGCAGTGCAGAATTTAAAGTTCTGGAATGTAAAGAACAGGAAATGTAAAACTAAGTAAAGTAGAATAAGACTGGTTTTTTGGATCTGAGTTTGAGGGTTTTTCTGGGGCCTTCTCTGCTATTTATACTGCTCAAGGATGACCATCGAATTATATTTCCAACCGTCGAACTGCTCCTCTATGATCGCTGATCATGTTACCTCAAGATTGGCTCCATTATGCCATTATTTGCAGTTGGGTTTCCCTCCTAAATTTGAATTTTGAATGAGAGTAACCGCTGATGCCACATCACCTTGCATCTCTTTGTTGATCCACTGCTACTCAGATCTCGTAATAACCAATACTAACTGCCACGTGTATGATCAGGATCGAAGACTCGAATAGTCTTCCTATATTACCCTTATTTTGCCACGCGTCAAATTGTAATTGGCTTGTACAAAATATGTAGCCAACATTACCCCCCACACTAATATACCCAATACTTGGTGATATTAGTG